TGGCTTGCATAGGAATAAGAGATATCTATATGGAAGAGCAGACAGAAATTAAGGATAGTCCTACAACTCTCCCAAGCCACCCTTTAACACTGTGCCAATAAGTGGGGGGAGGATAGGAGGGTACTTAAAGCATTATTTGCAGTGTCTAGCCTTAACCATAGATAGCTTAAGTGGCATCATCGAAATTCTAGAAAATCTGTATGTGAACATGAGAAAGCATTTGGAGCATATAAATAAAGTATGTCCTTATCCATCAAGCATGCTATAGTCTGATCCCACTTGCCCAGCACCCCAAATCATAGCAGGTGCCCTAAGGGGCCAAGACTATGTGTAGGTCTCTCAACATCATACCAAGCAGAGCCTTTCAAATGCTACACAGTTGCTCTACTCTCTTCATCGTTATAGTCTGTAACAGCCCAGAGCAGCTTATGGTCCCACTGATTGTGAATGCCTTTTCCAACTCTCCTTCTTCCTCATCTGGATATATAAATTCTCCTCTTCCTTTTCTCCCTTTATGGAGTTCCATGTCTCAAACAGATTTACCCTGTTCTAGTGGTTCCATTTCTCCCCTGCCATTTTCCCTCATGTGTAGTTGTTTCTTCCATTAGGAGCAGTGCACTGGCCTTTTTGAAGTTCCTTTTACGTTATGTTCCACCAAACAGTAGGAGCTATTTGTAAATCCCATGGGACTACTGTTCCCCTGTGGTTATTGCTCCTTGGTGTGCATAGACCAATTAGCCCCAGCTCGAAGAGCACTTGTCCTTGCCACAGGGCCTGTGGTTACTATTTATTTTCTTGTTATGAAATTTATCATCTTCCAGAAAATTTAGAAAGTGTAAAAAAGAGAACAAATAAGCAGAAAAATCACTTCCCAGATTATCCTACTTCTTACCAGAATTAATGTTAATTTCCTTCTCTGTGTATCATAAGACCACTGTGATCACAGCCTGTGTGTAAATTTTTTAAAATATCATCAGCTGGGATCATTTTTAACCAAATGCAGACAAATGGATTAATATCTTCAATGGAAGGAACTCATACAAAGTGCTGTCGTATGCCTTGTTTTAGCATTGCACAGGTGTGGGCTCTCCAGATCTTTCCATTTGGTGCCATCCATATCCTCTCACTACTGACAGGCACACAGCAGCTGAACCTGCTTCCACAGGAGCTGGGAGCCTTCACAGAGCAGAGGGTACATACTGGTTTTATTTATAACTGTGCTATTGGATTAGCAGAGTCAAAATTTAGAATGTATTACTGCATCTATTGAATTCCAGAAAAAAGAAGCAGAGTTTGGGTTGACAATTCCTCTAGGGTAGAGCATGCCAGAGGAACTCAGGGGATGTGATATAAAGGCCTGTGCCAGCTCTGCAAATTCACATTTGTACACTTTTTGAAAGCTTTTGCCTTCCCCTTTTGTGCTTTTCTTTGGCATTTGTTTCATCTTCGGAACTTTGGTTTCTGGTATTTACTGACAAGTACTCTTAGGAAGTTTCTATCACTTGAAAGAGATCTTTAAAATTTTAAGTATTTACACTGAGGTTTTTGAGGAAAGTAAGTGCCTTCTTCCTGATGCAACTGAAGTGTATTTTATCTTGCAAGGATTTTGTATTTTACATAAGATGTCAATAGCGTTCACCACTTTAGCTTTGTAGTTGGCTAATTCCCCTAAGTAGTTCATTTTACGAAATATAGTATTCCTCAGTGTACACACAGCAGTGCTCAGATGGCTTCTGTTCCTGCATTAGTGCCTTGCACAAGTGGGGACATACCAGCTCTAGTCTGGACTCTGCCACCAGGTAGCTCGCCTTACCATAGGCAAGACTGATTTTTTGAGCCTCATATTTCTTGTCTATGAAATAAGAAGATTGGGTTTGACACCATTCAAATGCTTTCTAGCTCTTAACTTTTCAATTCCTTTCAATTCAATTCCTTTAAATTTCTTTAAATTGAAAAGATAAAGCCTATGATCATGCTCAGCGAAATAAGCCAAAAAGAAAAAGAAAAATACCGGATGGTCTCACTCATAGCAGGAATCTAGAAAACTTAAATAAGGGACCAGGAAAATGAATATAAGAAAGTGAAAATCAAAATCAACAAAAAACTATGAACCAGAGACACTTTTTGGGGGGTGGGGGGCGGGAGGGGAAGGATTGGGGTCAGAATGGGGCATTTGCAATTGTATGGGGGAATATAAAAATTTTATTATTTTTAAAAAAAAAAAAAAAAGATAAAGCCTATGGCTTGAGCAATGGGGGTCATTACCGGACATGCATAAATCAGGTTACAACATGAGGCTTTTGGAAAGAGAAGTCATCTTTATTGCAAATTGATTGGCAAGGAGGTAGAAGATAAAGTCAAGTCTATCCCCCTGATTAAGAAAGGAAACTAAGTCATAGCATTTTTGTAATAGGATTGAGAACAAAGGAGTTAAATTTTATTGGCTGAAAGCAGGTTGGGGCAAAGAAATATAGACTTGGCTGAAGTTCATTGGCAAGTTACAGGTCTGTCTTTATAGAACTGGAGTTTTGAAATTTTGGTGGCTCACTCCTTCAGATAGTCCCCTTTCCTCTGTTTGCAATCTCCCGACTCCATGGCCTGCTGTGTCTGAAGAAGCAAGTCTCAGAGAAAAGTTATCCCTCTCTCTCTTTTATGTTCTTAGGTCTAAAGGAAATTTAACCAGTTGGCCTTGGTTTCAATCTTGGATCTTTAACATTGAGAATGGGCTCGGGGATGGGAGTATCTTTCATAACTTTTAAGTGTTCAAGAGAATGTTGAGTACCGGAGTTGGCAAACTGTGGCCCACCACTGGCCCACCACCTGTTCTTTATTCTGGCATAAGAAGTAATGGTTGCATTTTAAATAAGTCTGTAAGTACCCAAGTAACATTACTGATTTTATCTCTCGGTCCATAAAGTCTTAATTTTAGTAACTGGGACTTATATAAACAGTTCACATATCTCTGGTCTAGCACACTCCCATGGGGTTCTAGAAATGGAACAGCCTAGAGAAGGGAGACATTTGCCCAAGCCCCATTGCTGGGTAAGTATTGGGCTTGGAGTTGAGTCCTGGTTGTCAGGTTCCTGGCCCAGGTATCTTAGGCAACATCAAACACATCTAAAGTGGCCCAGTTCTTGCTGCCAAACCAGTAGCTAAGAAACTACAGTTTAGTTTTCAATGATATCAGAAGAGACATGTTGTTTTATTTAAATGTAGGGAACCTCATTCAGTGAGAAGAACACGTGTGTCCAGCCGTGTCCAAGTCTTTGGTCCTCTGTCACAGCATGGCAGGACCGAGTGAGTCTCCAGAGACTTGCAGCACACAGTGGCACCTCACCGGGAAAGAGGTGAGCAAGCTGAGGGCAGAGTGCACTGCTGCACCAAACAGAATTTCTAGCAGCACCACCAGGCTGCAGAGGAAACAGTCTCGCAGGAAGGCTCCCTCTTCTCTGGGAATCACCTTCTGATTTTAAAGTTAAATTTGTTTAATATGGTATGGCTCACTCTGGGCTTCATTCTAATTACTCATTTGCTCACAGTCTGTGTTAAGGGTTTTTCCCTTATTAGTGGAAGCAATTCAGTGTGGAGCTTCCCAAATCACTGCTCCTGCATAGGCTGGCCCTTTGCTGCTGCACTTAAGTATTAATAATTAATTGCTTTTAAAGATTTGGTTGGGGTGAAAAAGTATGTCAGTTAAGTGTCCCATGAAGTAACCTGGCCACCGTCCTTGAGGGTTGGAAAGTGAGCCAGGGAGAGCACAGGCAGGAGCAGCTGTGACAGCCAGAGCACAGTCTGTGATGGGAAGACGCTCTGCCAGGCACTTAGACAAGTAAACACTCCCACCTAGTCCCTAGGAAACTGCAGGAGGGGAAAAGCGAAAATATTACTAAGCCATTGTCATTAGAAAGCAGAAGCTATAATTCCCTGGATTTTAGATGTATTCCACAGTCAGTGTGAGGTTCTATTTTCTAGTATTTTTGTGGGTAGGTTGATAGTGTTAAGTAAATATTCGTTGTGGTATCCAGGCTTAAATTGAGACAGGATGCACAGAATCTCCCTCTGTCCCCACTCTTCTGTTAGAACCAGAACTGATCATGTAGAAGAAAGTGGGGGGCAGTGAATGCTAGTCCCCTTCTCTTAGGTCTGGAACCACAGGTCTGTGGCAGTACAGGCAGGGTTCAGAAAAGAGGGTCTTGCAAGTTGGCTGGAAGCTGGGAGTGTCCCATGGGGCACATGTTCATTGCTATCTACAGAGGGGTGCACTGTCACTTGGTTTGACTGACGATGAACTGGGAGTCAAAGCTTCAGAGCAGGGTACAGTGGGATGGGTGCTTACAATGACCCACTAGACTGGGGGAAGAAACTCATCAGATTTCTGTTGGTATTTTACTTTCATCTCTCCTTATAAAATTACTGTGGTGTGGATTTTATAATGGGCACACTATATGAAAACAGCCGTACATGTATCCAATTTATAAATATGCATTTATTTGAAACTGTGAGTAAATGTCTCCCCTCACCCCCCAAATGGTTTGGATACAGCTACTCTAGGTCTTACAGATGAATATACAAAGAAGAAAGGTGGGGCATGTTTTTGAAACTCTGAAACCCCTGTTCATGCCAAAACTCTGGATTCCTAAAATAGATGCACGATCTATCTGCTCTAGTTACGGTGGTGACATGCCAGACTACATACTTTCAGTCTTTCACGCCGTTAACCACGGTGAGTCACCCAAGCAGTCTAGGACTTGCCAAGCTGTTGGTAGGTGCTGTGTCACCCTTACTCAAGGGGTGTGTGGTACCCCGAGGCCCCAGTTAGCTCGGGTGCTGGATCTACTTCCTGGTGAGCACAGCACACATTAGTAGGGATTCCCTGGTGCTGAGAATGACATTAGATGGAGATTCAGAGGGCTAGCTTGCTCCATCCATCCATCCATCCATCCATCCATCCATCCATCCATCCATCCATCATTTCAATAAACATTTACTTCTTACCTGGTCTATGCGGTGCACAGACATCCCTGGATCTTATTTCTTCTTTTATAAAACAAGGTGAGGTGATTTCTGTTTCCTTCCTACTCTGGTTGTTCTTTAATAATTTTCTTGAATATGTGCTTCTGGGTCACTTATCAGTACCTCTGAAAACAAAAAATATAGACATCTTTTAAGACATCATTAACAAAATTGAAAGCATATGGCACAGTGATGTAGAAAATCATGGCACAATTGCTTCCTTTTTTGTGAGTTGCAAATTTCCAGTATAAAATTGAAAATCAATAGCAACTATTTTAAGAGGGGATATAAAATGGATGTTTCCCTACTTGAAAGGGCCCTCCATCCCCTTACTGTCTCCTCTTAGAAAAACAGTCCAATCTGGAACCGTTTTTACCTGCTATCTTCATTCAGTAAAGGAAATGACAGGGCTGAAAGGGGAATAAGTAGGGTTTTCAAGATGACTTACTTGATAATCTGAACATAGATTGGACATTTTGCTATCAAAGGAAGGTGGATGTAGTCAGAAAACAGAATGCCCCTTTATTGGCTACGGGCTTGTCCGGCCTGCCTGAGCCCCTTCTGTCACAGGCTGGATTCCACCCTGAGTCTAGAACCAATTCTCCCCTTACCCTGGAGAGAGCTCAGAAGCTGAAGCCAGGCCTTTGGGGTGGGCTCCGAGTTCTGTCGTCTTCTGGCCCCTAAGCCAGGCTGGTTCCCATTCTTGAGTTTCTGCCCAGTGGTGCCTCTGGAACTCTACTCTCCCAGGATCTTTACCACTGCTCAGCCCCGGGTGGGGCTGTGCGTAAAACCCTGACTCAGAGGCTGGGGTCTTCCCTACTCTGCTGATTGACAGCCTGCAGTGGTCTCCTGGGGCCATGTTCTATTCCTTCCCAGAGCAGACTCTTTCTCAGTGCAAGTTCCATCCGAATGGAGGGGTGGGATCTGAAATGCCCATCTGCTCTGGTTACACTTCTCCACTCACCAGTGATCATAAGATACTAAACTGTCAAATCCATCTCAAATTCCTATTCACCTTAACCTTTCAAACCTACCTGGGAACAGCTACTCCAGCACCCCGCAGCTGCGGCCACTCCTTCCTGGATGCCACTGTTATCTCCTGGGGGTCTCCTCGCTCCTATTCCTCCCCCACCCTTATTCCCACACAGTAGCCAGGGTGATATTTTCTTAAGTGGGGCTCAGATGGAGTTATGACAAAATCTAAGAGCCTCACTCTTGCTGCATCCTTTGCCCCTTCCCTCCCTCTACCATCTGCTACTGCTCTCCTCCCTCATCCTCGCTCCCATCATACCGATCTTTCCATTTTTGCGAGCTGTTTCACCTACTTCCACATGCCTTTCCTCTGGTTTTTGCATGGCTGTTTCTTTTAAGTTTTAGCTCAGATTTTAGCTCTTTGGAAAGTCTTTACTAAAGTATTCAGTTCTGAGAATTTCTTTTTTTTTTTTTTTTTTTTAATAGAGGCATGTTTTATTTATTTATTTATTTGTTTGTTTTTGGTTTTTTTTTTTTTTTTTGTTTATACATGCACTGGGTACAGTCAGAAGCACGGGAGGGTGAGAGAATTCACCAGAGCCAGAGTGGGGAGCAGAGCAGGCAGAAGGACCGAAGTACACTGCTGAGGGGAGCAGCGGGCGGCAGGAGAGGTCTGCACGCCATGTGGGACTCTCCTCCGGTGGCCGGGGAGCAGCCGGGGATCGAACCGGCGCTGCAGAGGCTGCGGGCAGCTTCACAACCCAGCGCTCAACCGCTGCGCCACCGGGGAGGCCCAGTTCTGAGAATTTCTCCCAAACTACCTATTTGCTGTTTTATTTTTACCACAGAGCTTAGCACTATTGAACACTTTATCATTTATTTAGTTGTGCTTGTTTCTTGCTGATCTCTCTTGACTAAAGTGTCCACTCCATGAGCGCTAAGACTTTGCCTGCCTGGTCCCCCATGTGGTCCCCAACATGGGGGAGATGTCCTGATACACAGTGGGAGTCAGATGAGTACTTGCTGAATTAGTGAGCAAATGAATGACCACGTGAATTCTAAATGAAACCAGGACAACATTTATTTATATAAGTATATAAAGAGGATATTGTCCTGGGGTTAGGGTTTACCAGAAGCCAAGCACATTCTTTTCTGTTTTATTTTAATCTAAAATCAGAAGTCATACCCTAGTCATTGTAGAAAATTGGGAACAAATAGAACCCACAAATAAAATTTAAAAATCACCTGCAAACCTCTGTGTTCAAACTGGCAAAATTGTCTTCCTTTTTTTGTGAGTTTCTTACAGTAGTGAATGTACTCTTGTTTCTTGATTGTGTAGTAGCAGTAGTCACATTTCCAGAAAAGCTGCTTTTTCTCCAGGAGACACAGATGCTTTGTGTCTTAATACCATCTGCAAAGCTGTTGGGAAATATGAGGGGGAATGAGAACGGCGTTTATTAATGCAGTCCAATTTAATTTCCTTTACTCAGAGAAAAATGGTTTATCTATAGTAGTGACTTGTGCCTGGAGGGAGTGAAATAATATAGCAGGAGGGAAAACAAATTCATCCTGTACAGAGACAAAGGAAAGCGATTCTTGCTTGAGAGTATTAAACACAGACAAAAGGAGGCTATTCTAATCGGATCCAGTAAGGACAGCACTGTCACCCATTTCTTCTTCTAGGGAAACTTCTGGGACACTGCAGTGGCATTTAGCAAAAACCTCACTATCTGTGATTGCCTTGATGTAGATAAGTTGTAGAACAGCAGGGAAAATTTAAGACCGACGTACAACCAGGTTAGAGGAAAATCAGTTTATGTAAATAGAAGAATCTGAATAATAGGTAGCCTAGGCCAACAGGTGGTTTAAATTCCACTCCAAGGGTGTCTCATGAATGTTTCTGAAGAATGCATGTTAGCTGTGAGTTTTCAACTCCAAGCTCTGTGGAAGATTTTCAGCTGTTTCATCTGTGGACAGCTATGGAAGTTTACCCTTCGTGTTACTATCACTCCTAGAGTGGGAATAAGTATGGACATGTAGCCCTGCCTTTCCTAGAGGGCTTTAAGAGTATCTCGAGCATTGAGTAGAGGTGTTTCTTATAGTAGATAAATCAATGAGGGGATGGACAGTTATGCTGCAGCACTTGTATGGGGGGGCCTGTTGGGTGATGACATCCATGTACTGTCAATTGATGGGTCTTGATCCTTGAAATTTGGGGTCCTTATCACACCTTCTCCTTTATTTGCAGTCCTTTCATTTAATTTATGGGTTCTCCTGTCCAGTCTGCAAGTGGGACAGATCTTTGGTTCTTGGAGTAATGATTGATAAGACTAACAGTCAAGTGTTTGCGGTCATCATTTTATTGTTGGGTGTATTAGGTTTGCTCTCTGAGCTGGGGAACATGGAAAGGCCTCCAGGTTTTCTGTGAGGGATAGGCCCATTAATTAATATTTCCAAATATTATCCTACCATAATTGGAAGACAGTAAAATTGGTGTTTAGAGAGAGAGACAAGGCAGTGAAGTGTAGAGACTGCTGGACTTGTAATAAGATTAGGATTCCGGGTGCAGCATTTCCTTTGGCTTCTGACTCATTAGCCTCCATCCAGTGTTCAATCCTACACTGCCACCCTGTACTTTCAGCTTCTTTCTGGACACCACCAGGATACCACACAACAGCTCACACGTAACATCAAATTTAGTACATTTACACTCAAGTTCTCTTCCTTTCTCAAACCCCAATCCCAAAACCATTCCTGCTCTGATGTGGCTAATGATATTACCATCTAGCAGTTGCCCCAGCAGAGACCTGGAGGCTATCCCTACGCGTGCCTCATTACCCATACCTGCCTCCCACCTCACATTCACTCAGCCACCTGTCTTATCAATTGCATCTCAGGAGAAACTCTGACATGAACCTGGCTCTTCCACCTGTGGCTACACCTTCCTTTCAGATCCCCTCTCCTCTTTCTTGGAACACTGTAATATCTTAGTTATTGATCTCCCTGTATGCCATGCTCTCAACTGCAAGAACAGCAGCCCTGTTTGAGGTAGTTTCCAGAACCTCCCTATTGACTGTGGAGAGTGCAACCCCGTCAGGGTTCATAGCTTCCAGTCTGATCCCTGCTCACCTGCCTGCCTTATTTCCTCCTTTCACCTTTGACCTTATTATTCTGTAAACTCAGCTTCCCCTCCCAATACTGCCTGTCTCTGTGGATTCCTCTCCACATGCTGGTTCTCTTGTTGGGGCTGCAATTTCAGCATCTCCTCATTCCATCAGGCATTCCATCAGGTAAATCCACACTGGTTTTCAAGAGGCTCCTCTAGTTGGAAATATAGAGGACCTATTTCTTGGCTCTTAAGACAGTGATAACAGTTTTCTTCTCTGTTCATCTTTGCATTTGATTCCCCCAGCTTTATTGACATAGACACCTAATACTATATAAGTTTAAGTGTACACTGTGTTAATTTGATATTTATATGTTGCAAAATGATTGCCATCATATATGTGAGCTAACATCTCTAACCTGTAAAATAATGAGCACTTCTCTTTTGTAGCAAGACATTTAAGATCTACTAACAACACTCAGTACATAACACTTTGTCACCAGCTATACTCACCATGTTGTTCATTAGAGGCCCAAACTTGTTTATTTTATAATTGGAAGTCTGTGGCTTTGATAATGACCACTCTACTATCTGTTTCTCTAATTTGATTCTTAAAATACCTCTTTCTACCCCATTGGCTTACATGTATGGTCTACCTGGGTGCCCACTCTCTGCACATGACCTGGTACCTGCTCAGTGAAGGATGGCTGGCTGAAGGGTAGGGGAGCCATTTTAGCTGACTTTTTTTGTCTGAGCCTAAGTCCCAAGATTAAACGTCAGTCCAAATTGTGGAGTAACAAAACACAAAATTTGGAAGTCTTAATTTGTTTGCATTGAAAACTCAGAATATGTACAATGCATATTTGTAATGCATTAGACTTTTTATAGTATTTGAAAATAACTAATAGGTTTTTAAAAACAAATTCTTCACTCTAACTTTATATTTAAACATTACCTACCAGCACAGAGTGTGATCATTTTAGACATTTGGTGCAGAAATCTTGTAGTCAATTTGGGAAGGAGGGTGGCAGAAGGTGAATCCACTCTCCTGACAATAGTGACCCTGACTCAACAAAAACATTTATCAAGAGTCACAAGTATGTTTTTTTACTTTTTGTTTTTTACTCAAAGCTGGCTGCTTGGATTGATGTGCTCTTTCCTGTTTATAACTCTGATGGGAGTCGGGAAAACATGAGGAACCATAAGGAGGTTCTTAAAGTGCTATAGCTGATCTGTGTGGGCCCAGTTCATGGGGCCCCAAGCAATTAAAATAGCAACATCAAACACAGATTACTGCTTACAGTCCACTATCAGCGATAAAACAATAATGAAAAGGGTTGAAATAATAATGACTAAAATGTGATACAAAATGAGCACGTGCTGTTGGAAATGTGGCACTAACAGACTTGCCCAAAGTACCATTGCCTCAAACCTTCATTTTGTTAAAAAAACAACAACAAAACACCAGTATCTGCCAAGTGTATGCAGTAAAGTAAGCACAATAAAATGAAATATGCCAAGCAGGCAGAGAGAAGCCTCTGCTAGACTTCCTCTCCCAACACCCATGGAGAGATCCACCCAGGTACATAAACATCAGTATTGGTACTGTTACAGAGACAGGAGACTGCATTAATAAGCTCGTATGGCTTTCCCTAGGTTACAGGGTTGGTCAGGAAAATTCCTAATGAGCAATATGCTTCCCTACTATTTTGGAGAGAAGTAACTCATAATGAAACGTTAGAGACAGATGGCTGACAGAAGGAAGAGAATCCAAACTATTTAAAATCCTCACCGTCTTCCCCTTGAGTAAAGGAGAGAAAGGAATAAGCATACATTGGGGAAAAAAAAAAATCACTAATATTCTTAAGTAATTCCTGTGCTAGGCACCAATCTGAACATGCCACATGGATTAACTTCATTAGTCCTCACAACGACCAAGGGAAGTACATACTGTCTTTGTTCATTTTACAGAAATAATAAAAGGTGCAGTCAGGATTTAGAACACAGGCCTATGCTTAAAACCTTATTTTTCTACAACTGGTTAGTAAGTTCTGGTTCATCAACAAGGAACAACACTATACCAGGCAGTTAATATGCGCGATCTCATTTTCTTGATATAACAACCATGAGACAAGTATGTACTCTGTCCATTTTACACTTGCATCAGGGCTCCAAAGTCATCCAGCAGCTTCTAGTCACCCACAAAGCAGAGTCAAGCTTGTTGCCTTGCCCCAGAAATGTGTCAGGACGTTTGTCACAGCAGACCTGGAATTCAGGCCCATGAACTCCCTTTGAAATCTGTTTCTCCACTTTGGCTTCTGCTTGATTCATCACTGTTTCTGGCATCTCATTATGGAAAATTGATTCCCCTCTTCACACATCCTCTGCTTTCTTTAGCCTCATGTCACTGCCCAGACATCATTCCTGAGTCCTCAAACAGCGAGGCATCTAAACCACAAGGGCATCCGAATGTCGTGCTTCTGATAATGTTCTTTTGAGTACAGGGCCCTGAAGAACAATCCTCCCTGTGCTGTGTTTGGCCAAATCTTTGCCATGGTTCTGCATCCCTATCTCCCTTTGCTTCTTCCTCTTGAAAGGCAGCCACACTTTTGGCCAGAGTAGGGCAAAGCAGAGAAATGGCTGGGACGGTATGGAAAAGCCGGACCTGGTAGGTTCTCTTTGTAAAGGCAGAAGTGCCCCAGAAAGAGTGTGAGAGAATCTCCTTAGGATCTCTGAAAAGTGACGTAAAGAATGTGAACAAGTTTTGTGGAGAGGCAAGTGAAAAATGTGTGAAATATATAAAATGTAAGTAGTTGTAATTAAAAAATAATTTAAAACTGGTGAGATTTTTAAGCTTGAGAAGCAACGGACAGTAACTCTCTTGGTAGAAGAGAATCAAGCAGGGTGGTGGGTTTTTTCCAGGCGTTTAACTTGTTTCCTGTTTTTGTTTTTGGAAGAACTATTTATTTTGCGGAAGCTATAGGTCATATGTTTCTTTAACCTGATGATAAGCATGCAGATTCACCTCTGTTTCCTCTAAACAGGCACAGGGGGTTTTCTCAGTAACTGAGCCCTGGCCCATTGCCATGCAGATGAGCCGCATTTATCTCTGACAACAGTGTCTTTCCAATTTGTTCTTCAGTCTCCTCAGGGTTTTTGGTTGTTCTTTAAGAACCACTCTTGGTGGTGGGTGAGGGAAGGCCTGCCAGGTGCTGTCCTCTGTCAGGGTATCGTTTTCTACATAGGGATTCTGATAGGATCAGATCATAGGGGGGATTTACGAAGGGTTGAAAATTTTGTGGCTTTTTAGGCG